GAGTGTGTAGTGGCAAGTGGCACGCTTACCACGCGAGCGGTCCGGGATCAAATCCTGGGTCGTGAGTCGCCCGGGCCAACCAAGCCTTCCATCCCTCCGGGGTCGGTTAATTGGTACCAGACTTGTCTGGGAGGATAAAAACACTGACTTGAACATCGGCTGGCCCCGCAAGTCATTGTATAGGCCACATCGCATTCAAACGCCACTACGAATGTACAAATGGAAGTAGAATGCGTGCCGCATCCCAAAAAGGGATTGATCAACGGCAAATGCTTTATCCTTTATCCTTTAAAAACATGAGATAAAAACAAAGTGAATGGATAATAATAAAACAAACCAGTAACATTAAATTGAGACGATGAATAAATAATCAAAGCCATAAAATAAACAAATTATAAATGTTTTTGCGTAGAGTGCGCTAAAACTTTATTTGAAAAAAAAATCCAAAACTCAAGCTAAGTCAGCGCTTTTCTTTAACGATTTGTGTCGATCGTGCACCCGCGGGATAAGGAATTGAATTCGTAACAGTATTAGGTCAATTCTTATAGAATAAAGCGAGAGCATAGCATATTTTCACCGCAGTAATTTTCGTAGTAAGAAAAGAGTTAATTTAGTAAGAAAGAGCAGAGAATGAGCCTATGACCTCCAGAAATACCTTGATGTCTCGGTGAACGAAGCCGATTGTGTGAAGTTCTTGTATCGGTGATAAAGCGAGAAAAGCGAGGCGAAGACCAGTGGAAAGTGATAGACGAACTCAACATATCTATGTCGAATTCTTAGTTGATGATTGCTGCCTCGAACCTGAAAATGCTCAGTGCCTCATCACAAGCGATGCTATGCGTACTATGCCATGAACACTTCGTGAACAGTCTGTTGTGCTTTGTCAAAGGCCCAATCTCGTAGATGACCTGACCAAGTAGTGACTTAAACACCACTACGCTGCTTCAAAATGGGAGCATAGGGCGATAGCGCGAAAATAACCCGCAAGTGAAGAGAAGATGAGACGAATGCTATCAGAATACCGAAGCGCCTCTTATTCGGGTGGTAAAGGAGCCTATTTCTGCCGAGGAGTCAGCACACACTTGTAGATCAGAGTGCATAGGGACAAACGAGAAGGCTGCGGCTTTTGAGGCTTTGAGGACGGCTGAATTTACGCATTTCTGCCTCTGCGGCGGCAACCCATAGAGTAATCTTCCATCGATGCGCGCGGTTTGCCATGAAACATCACAAATCAGTTTAATTTAAAGAATGCCTCAATACGCGCAACCTACGGATGTAGCGCCTAGTAAGCCGAAAGGAAAGGTCACTGCTACCTGGTGCTGAAGCAGGCAACAGCACTGGGGAGGGAGTGTTGCCATAAACAAAACTTAACGAACCTGTTCTAAACTTGCACAGAAACCAGAAGAAGAGGTTGGTGAAAGAGGGAATGTCGAGTGCTATGGGTGGCTGGGACGTGAACTGAAGTGTGCGGACAAACTCACAGTATCCGACCCAGAGGGAACCCCAAGATCGGGGAAAAGTGAACACGAGCTACCAAATAAGGTGGGGACAAGTGCTGATGGTGGGGCCAACACCGGGCGGATGGGGTAAAAAAATACACATAATGTTTAAAAAGCTGCTCGGATGCCAGAAGAAAATCCAACATATATCGAGATAATGAGACTGTTGAAATCTCACTGTGGGCGGGGTCTGCAGGGTGGGCGGGGATTGGACGAAACGTTCCAGCTGCTCTGTTCAATATCGTTGGAACGCAATAGCGCGCATGGCTTCGTGTGCGGAGCCAAACTTGTGCAAAATACGAGTACAATGTAAATTGATTTCGTACCAATGGCATTATGAGAAACTTGAAATGATCCTCGATTTTTCCACGGTCGATCGATTTCACCAAATGGCTGCATCCTGCAATCAAATTTTATTGGTCATTCCCATCCCATTCATTTAGCTCGAACTTCTATCAATCGATAATCGCAACAATTCGAAAACAGTGCTTGGTCAGGGCCGAGCAGAATTTTGCGTTGCAATTTTCGAAAACCGGCAGAACTCAGAACTTGTAAGCTGAAGGAGATTGTCCCGCATATCGATTGACGCACGTTTAAAAGAGTTCCGCCTGCCGCTTTCGAACTCATCTGATCCACTTCTGCTCATCCCATTTTCTGAGTATAGAAGACAATTGGGAAGTCTCACAGCACTGCTAACAACTCTTTGATGCCTCGGAAGCTACAGAATACCTCGTTTAGCGGCTTGACTCATCACCACGTAGTCCATATCCAAACCATGAGAGTTGGCACCGCATATTTCAAGTTTGCAAGCGAACGGCTTTCCATCGGATTTACGCAAAACCTGCAATTGGTCATCATTTAAAGGTAGTCGTGGTGAAGATATTGTGCCGCCATGTGGCGCCACTTTGCACGCGCATAGCTCAGGGCTGAGCCGTACTTGAATGCCACCACAACCCTGGCTGGAAGTAGAATGCACGGCGCATCCTGAGAGAAGTGTTAATTGATTCATGCTTTTGTACATACTAATATTAATATATCTTCTCTTTCCGGTGCCAACTTAGTTGGAGGGGACCACGCGGCGGCGCGGTGCATTGTCAGTCTTCCCCTCCAAGGCTCAGTCCACGGTGCTACTCTATTTCGGAACTGCCACAAAGGGGCAAAATAGTAACGGCCCCCATGACTGACAATAGCCTTGGAGCTGCAGACGAACAGGGCGTCGCGCCGCCGCGTGTTCCTCTTAACTAAGTTAGCACTCTATTTCCCTGAGAATTTGTTAAAACTCACCCCTTCGGAAGGCATTCAAAAGATAAGTAGATGGAGCATAGGAGTAAAATGCGCGGCGCATTCTACTCCACGATCTAACGTTTTTTCCTCTTGAAAGCATGGTTATAAAAGAGTCGGAACTGTTAAAAATCCTTCTTATTTTGATTCTGCTCGAGGCAGTGAAGAGTCCCAAACGCACTTTCACCAGTTGTTGCCACACGTTTAGCAAGTGTTTGATCTTCAGTGTAAAGAGATGGACTTCTGTTCTACGAACAGTCGTGGATCAAAATAAAAAGTCCAAAAAATCCCACCCTAGTGAAAAGTGACCGCAGCAGCTGCGCAAACCGCAGACATCTTGTGACGATGTCGATCCGATCTGCCAGGGAAGTAAAGTTCCATCAAATCAAGGCCGCACGTGACTAAAGCCCAGTGTTAAAGGCCTACCCCAGGATCACATTGGTGTGGGCCATGTGCACGAATGTGAATGTACTGGTGGGAAGTGGGCCGGCAGTAAAGAAAAAAGGAAAAGAATCCGTCAAAAACGCTTAGGTTAAGGGCTCACTCACCTTCCTAATCGGCTGTGCTAAGGGAATGAGAGACTAAGCGCGGAGAGGAGAGTATGAGGCGAGAGAGCGCTACAGATGAGAGAGCGCCAGACAACAGCCTGATAAGAAAAAAAAGTCTGCAGCTTGGGCAGCTTACTTTGCAAGGCCAAGCGCTCTTATCGGTCGGTTTCCGTGCACGAGGACGCCACATCTGTGATTGTCCTCTAGGGTCTATACTAGTGACCGAAGAGAAGCGTTCACACGAACTCTGCCTGGTTTGCCTTTAAGCTGCTTCCCGTTTGGACGCGCGGAATATGGTTATGACGTAGAAATTCAGTTCCAGCTGTAGACATGTGATACACGGTGCGCCCGAGGGTGGTGCGGTTTCGATGCATTCGATGCGTTGTCACTCTCCTTCTCTGAGAATTTGGTGATTAAACTCATGTTTCCGAGAGCATTCAAAGAATATTGTAGAGGGCGCATATGGATACTAATGGAAATGCGCGGAGCCTTCAAACTTAACGCTCTAACGTTCTTTTCCCTTTGAAAGCGAGTGGTCAAGCACATACCAGAACTGTCCCTGGTTAGATCCTCGGCGCGCAGATGGGCATGTGGTTGGACCAACTAATGCTTTTTCTTTGAAGCAACAATCCCAGGACGAATTTGCGGGTTAAATACCGTTGATAATGTAGTTATAGGCGACAATTTGACCGACAGTGACGAAAAAACCAAAGAAAAACGCCGAACAGGGCTTTAAACAGGGACTCCCCTTCTGGCGCTCAGAGATGTGGGAAGACGCGCGTTGGACGAGTTGTCTGAACTTGCCCCACTTAATGCGCTCCAGTTGCATAACACTAACATAATTAACAAACATAACAACAACATCAACAACAAAAAAAGAAACAATTCCAGTGTAACAGGCAGGATCACATTGATTATTTTAAAGGACAGAGTTCAAATACTCCCTGTGGTCCCAAAACGAGCGCGAATGCCTCCGTCAAATCACGGCTGGCAAGTGGGCGGTCCCGAAGAAATCTCCAACCACACCCATCTTTGAGGAGTTTAACGCCCTTATTAGGCTTTTCCCAGGTGGGTTTTCTTTATAACTACACTTTAGATGTTCTCCAATAAGGCTGTGCATCCGTTAGTTCCATTAGTTTGAAAGAAGCAGACCCTGCTGGGATTGTTGCTTTAATGACGTTCAATGAAGCGCCCTCCGACTATCGCGATCACTGCCTGAAATACTGAAATAAAACTGGAATCTTTATACAATAATTTGGGTTGAGATTTTGAGACACGGGGCACATAGGAGAGATGAAGGATTAGGGACAAGAGCTCTTACGGACAAGCGAGACGAAGCCACTAACGCATCATAGGCTCGCATCAATACGATTGGACCGAGCCACTTTTTTACATAAGAGATTTTTTAACGCATCCTCTGCTTCCGAAAACCAGACGCGCGACGATTACAGACCACACACCACAAGTGACGAAGTCGCTTCTAAATGTTTTCTGCCAATGAAATGATTAGCCTGTTGCAGTTGTATTCTATCAGTTGTCACTAATTACAACTATCATTTACCAACTATCAGCTATCACTATGAATCACTAGTTACCAGATTTACTTGGAGGCCGTCGTCACTTGTGGTGTGTGGTCTGCACTCGACGCGCTTCTGGTTTTTTGAAACAGAGGACATAAACATTAGCCTGCGCGGAATGAGCCTTCGAAGAAGAAGAGCAGGTTTCAACCACCACTTCTAACATTTTTGGCCTCACTGAAGTTTGAGATCATGTAGTATCTTGTTGAATTCGCAACATTGTATGATTTGGGAGGTGGATAAAAGGGGAATCACGTCAGCTGCCGCTCAACCATCAGCCTTTATAAGAAACAGGAAATACTTGTCATGATTATTATTACACCCAGAAGTTGATAGGCAGTCTGCAGATGCTGATAATAAGAGCCTCGTCCACATGTCAGCAGTTCTTTTATCGCGTGCCGCCATGAACAATTTTATAAAAATCGATGAGGTCTCGTAAAGCTACAGTCTGCGAAAGCTCTGAGTTCCCAGATGAGCACTGTTTGTTTCCTCTCAGATGGTATGACTTCACTTGAACGCGATTTCATAGACATTTTGAACCGCAGTTGCGAGACTATGAGCCACCTTCCGTGAGGACTGCCATTCTTTCGCAGTGTTTCCTTCTCAGACTAAGAGTGACAGGATTCCCCTATGGAACCCTCTATTCATGGATTAAAGCGGTACAGATCCTCTAGGACCGTGCCCTATACTTCTCCAGAAGAAGGGGCGAGAATCACTCTAAACTTTCTTTTTCTTCTCAACCGGAATTATCCTAGGAAAGGGCCGATTTGTACCGATAAGTGCGTAAAAAAAAAAAAAAAAAGAAAAAAAAAAAGGTAAGCATAGCTGAAGTGTATGCGAAAACATTTTGTTGAACAAATAAAAGTGTGGGGTGGTCTCATTTCCTCCTAGCCGGGGGAGGAAGGATCACGGCCTGCACTGTTAGAAATACGCTATTGAGAGGACGCGGGTGTTTACTAGCTCGAAGGCAGAACCAGAGGTGGTGAGGAGCACTTTTTTGCCCACTTAGGACAGCATGTGGGCAGAGACTGACGCTGTCCACTGCGGAAGGTAGATACCGGCCACATACACTTTTTGTGTTTACCAATGCGATGATACCTAGTTCAGTGCTACATAGGTAAATGGAGCACTTGCACGACCTTATCTTGACTTAAAAGTGTAGGGCCAAACTATAAATCATTTTGAAATGCAATATACCTCATAACAGCGCAATAGCGACCTTGAGCGCAGGTTTTCGACGAACTCGACCTACTGTCCTTTTATTGCTCAGAATCAGATTGCTTAGGTGGATGGCAATTTGTCATCAATCGAGCAAGACGACGAGGAGAGCTCGCAGCTCTCCAGGTCAAATGACATTGCCTGAAAAATATGACTGTGTACTAAAGAGCTTTACTTACAAAGAATACCGAGAAGATTATGAGAAAATATAGCGCACAACTGTCTAGGAAGGAGTAATTTTGAAGGCGTAAAAGGGAGAACTTTTCTTGGGACTAAAATCAACTTGATTTAGCCAGAACCGTTGGCACCGTTCACCACCTGGTACTCTTTTTCAACGTCAGGGGTTAATGTGGCCAGAAAATTGTACATGTACTCAGAATCGCTCTTCGACACGAGCAATTTGCTTGACCCTCCTGAGCACAAAAGCATAGGCTCAGCGCTAATGCACTAGCGAAACACACAGATTGATAGGACGGGGCATGAATAGGCCTCGTGACCAAGGTTTAAAGGCAAGAATCAGGATTACATTGATGGGGTTGATTCCACTCAAATGTGAAAGTAGGGATGAGAGGTGGACCCCAGTGGAGAAAAAAGGAAAGAAAATCCTGAATGCACAGGAAATACGAGCATTTTGCTCAATGCTGTGGAGAAGTTCAAAAGACAGGGAGGGAGATGAGAGATAATGTGAGCGCAGAGGGTGGTAGAGAATTCCGAGAAGAGAGAGCATAGCAGATCAACGCAGCGACGCAGACAAGACATCGATCGGTGGGCGGACCATGTTATGTTTGGTGGAGTCTGTTAGAAGTTCATGGCGCCTAGGGTCCTGGTGACGGGTTTCGATGTAGAAAGGTGGCGCTAACTTTGCACTTGGGTGCCCAGCACTTCTAGCCATGGTAAGGGCTTCTTAGGTGGGTCTGAGCCCGAACTTGCCTTCAAGCGAGAACCCCCTGATTTATACAGACTTTCGAAGGTATGTGACAGTAATTGATGAAGTAGGACCAGATAGTCTAGACGATGATTAATTGCGCTAAATCTTCTACATATCGATGAAGTGATAAATTTGGGACACAGTATGGCTGAATGACTCAGCAGTGAAGAGCTGGACTAGTCCAACATTAATTTCCAGCAGAGACTAAACACGC